AAAATATTCCAGTTAAATCCAAAATTGTAACTTTGTAATCTTTTTGTAGCTCGTTCTATTCATATCCAGTTAAGTATTTGAATACAGTTTTTCAAAAATCAGTCTGAAGAAGACGTACAGTTAATGCTGAAGCGTCCTGACATTGTAAGTCCTGTGTTTAAATCAAAGGCTCAGATGTAGGCAGGCAATCTTTGCAGCAGAGGCTTGTAAATAAACATCATAAAATGCTGCTCTCTTCAGTTCGCTGAGGAGTACCACCCCACTTTTTCATATTAGATGCAATAGTGAGCAGATACAGAAGCATGCATATGACCAATGTCACCACAGTCAAGCACAGACTGAATTGTGGATTATACACCGATCTATTTGTATTTATTTCTATAAAAATATCCAATCTTTGGCCTCAGTTTTCTTGAAAGGTGTTCCACATGATTTTTCAAAGTGAGTCTAGCTTCCAGACACAGTTCCAGAAGACTTGAGGTCTTATGCTACCTCAGTGTGCCACTTTCTCTTTTAAGGAGGCTGAAATGGCTGCATGGCGATGACGAGTGTGTATGCTGGTGCCAGTCAAACAAAGTGGTTCACAAACGTTTTCTGGTGCATGGTACTTCAGAAGGAAAAAGAAGTTTACATCACACATCCCGGAGATTTTATCCATTATAAACAATAAAAAATGTCTAATTTTGCTTTTGAAAGACTTTTCCGGTTCACATGTCAATATATTCCTAGTCAAGATACTGACCCCATATTGCTCCCATCCATCAGAGTGTGTGTGCGTGCCTGACAATGTTAGAAAAAGACCTGTATGAATTTGTATGTGCAACTGGGTGAATGGGACATATATTAGAAAAGGCACTGTATAGGTAACGTTTAACGTATTAGCTGCTAAAACTTTTGATCACTTTCCCTAACAAACTAAATCATTCAACTTCACTTTTCATTTTTCACCTGGTTGTCTGTGTGCCACCTCTGGGGCCAGCCCCGCAGTTTGAAAACCACTGATTTAATAACTCTCCACATGCTTTACAAGCCAACTTTGAGCACAAATGCACAGGTAATGAGAGGTGAATAAATAATTGTAAAGCTGTCTATGGTTACAGAAATATTTCAAAATTAACTGGATTTAAAGGATTTAAACAGTCGTCTGGTGATGTAAATTGATTCCAAGGTCAGTTTCTCAGTATATTATGGTATTTATCATGTTACACAACAACATATAAAGTACAGCTATGAAGCATTTTAGCATCTGCTTGAATGACTGAATGAAAGGCGGAACATTATTTGTCTGGGTCAGCAGGTTTTCCTTGAAAACCTTCAAAACATAATAAAACCCACTGCATCTGACCCCATAGACATCACCATAAAGTATATAGCTCAAATACAGAACACCGCCTCGCTCTAAACACTGCGTTCCTTCAGTTTGAGCAGCTCATCTCTTTCTAAATGACTCAGGTCACTGCTGACTGATGAGGTCCTCGTCACTCAGCCTTATTCTCCTTCTGCTGCTCTCTGCCACTGATGCTCATATACAGCCATGAAACGGGGAGGGTGAAGCTCAGCTTGCTGCCCATCCCCCCCCTCCCTTCATTCTGGCTGCTACATCCACTGCTGCAGAGAGAGAGAGAACGACAGAGAGCCCGCGATGGTGTCACCCTCCCTCTTTCACTCTCTGCCCCCACCAATCACAGCCCTCGCTTCACCTTAGCCAAACGTAGAGCAGGTGTTGCCTCCCTGCGTCCTTGTCTTTACTGGGAAACATGCACGCAGTGTTTACATTGCTCAGGAAAAAGATGATTCACTCGGCCTGCCTTCAGCTTTTCACAAACTGGGTTATGCAATAGCCAGTTACAGTGTTTAAATAATTAAAGAATGTAAAACACGCGCAGATAATTGGCATATGAAGCTGCATTGTGTAATGTAGTAGGGCGTGCAGATGATATCATTTCTATCAAAACTCAGTCTTCTGGCCTTGTATTAAAAAAAATGTAGACTAACTTACAAAAATGCAGGTCTGGGCTGAGCTCAGCCACAGTGCAAACATCCAGCATCAGGCTCAGAATACTTTTTATAATTTAATACTGTACTCTTGGATTCAAAGTAGATGTGAAGTTACTGATGATCGAGGCTCCTCTTTGTGACAATGCACAAATCCTTTCACTTCATGTCAAAGAACAGAAAAATATACTAATATATATGTATGTATGTATGTATGTATGTATGTATGTAGAGAGAGAGAGAGAGAGAGAGAGAGAGAGAGAGAGAGAGAGAGTGTTTAATGGGATGGGGTGGGTGTGAGCCAGAATTCTGCAGCAGCACCAGTGAGGCAAATATACCTTAGAGCACAGCTGGGTGTAGCTTAAGAATTTTCAGATTCCAGCAATGTCATGACCAGAAAGTGACACATTAGCTCCTGGTACAGAGCAACTGTGTGGATTTGTATTAGTGAAATGTGACACCGAATCAATACTATGAACAACAGACGCCAAATGAAGCAAATCCTGCAGCCGGGGTAGGGCACGGTAACAAAAAAAAAAACAGAGGAGAGAGAGAGAATGAGCAGCTTGGTGTAAGAATTTAGGGACGAACTGGATACATGGCTTCACATTAAGCCATCTCTATCAGGTTTTATGGGCTCGTTCCTGAGCCTTTCGACGACCACTAACACTTGCACCCAGTTGAACCTCCTGCGCCTCCACCATAGTCAGGCCTGTTTCATCACCGCACACCTCCCGCTAGAGCACCAGCCCAAATGTAATGAGCCGAAATGACACAATCGGATACTGAACCTTGAGTTAACAGTGTCCTAATGATGCAGGGTTACACAGACTGCCGGTGCCGCACCGACTCTACTCAAAGGGCACGATGACTAAAAGCCGTCCGCGGAAAAATATACAAAAAATGCGGAATTTCTTGCGCAGCGCCAGTTTTAAGGCAACTTTCACGACTCTGGTGCACTCCGCCATTAACGTGAAGCGGAGCATAGGTGGTGCTCTCCGGCTGAGAAAGGGTGTTTTACGCAGCTGAATTATGCTCCATCGGATGGGGTGAGGCACTGCTGCAGTCGGGGAATCCCACGGATGGAGACCGCTAATCTTCATTCATTTTGCAATAAACAGCATCGCATTACATTGTGTTGGCTATTATTAGCTCGCCAGCGTGTGAACAGTACGTGCATCCTACATGTTGTGGCACAATATTCAGGCAGAAACAGATCGGGATGCAGCTCACAGGCAGAGGCAGATTAGTCCTTAAATAAACGTAAATTGTGTCTAAAAGGGGCGCACACGGGCTTCATTACTCTGTGGCTTCTCATCCCACCGGAGGAGGATGCCAACATCTTCTATTAGTGGGCTAATCATCGCTTGTCAACAGCGTTTTTTACGCTCTGTCGCTTGAAATGCAATTGCGCATCCGCGCCGCAGGAGACCAACGAGACGGAGCAGCCTCCGCAGGGCATCCAGTGCTCCCTCACTACACCTTTGCGGTTTACATCGGGATACAATGGAACATCACCTTCACCGTTATCATCATCACCACTCAGATGCACTAGCAGCCACCCGCATCCTGTCCCCCCCGCTCCCCGGCCCTTTTCTTTTTAAATATATACTCGCTCTCTGGCATATACACAGCTGAATCGGGGTGCAGCAAGACCATATCCCGCACAAATTCTGAGCACCATAAATTAGGAGAGAAAAAAGTCTTACTTTCGCCGACCACCGCCTTTAATCCGATAGGTGCCATGATGCTGCCTCTGAGTGCTGGACCGACTGATTACCCTCTGCTTACTCTCTCTCTCCTCCTCCTCCTCCTCCTCTCTGATCGTGTCACACCGCTGCGGAGGAGCCTCCACTTGGAAACGTCACTGCGTATCCTTCCGCATCATCCACACTGGTGATGTGCGGACGTTTGGCTACAGCTGTGTGTGTATTAGCTCAAACTAATTCCTACTAAAGACATTTATTTGTTAAGCCTTACCCGCTCATTTGTCCAAATAGAATTTAAAGATTCCTGCAAAATACCCTTGTTTTTCACAGAACCTGAAATAAATACATGATAAGAAAATAAAGTAACCCTTCATTTTTAAACAAGTTTTAATGCATATAACCTTAAGCAGATGGCACAATAATAGATTCATAGTTTTATATATATAATAATATAGTGAATCATTACATTTATACAGGAAGACAGTGATGTGCAAAAGTCTTGTGTCATTGATTTAGTGAAATGTGCAAACATAAATGGAAGTATAGTATAAGACAAAAACACAGTATACACAATTCTAACAAGCTTGAAAGTCAATATTTGCTATGACCTTGCAACTTTGTTCTTCATAGACTCTTAAAGATATTCAAAGAAAGCTTGCTTAAGTAGTCTTCAATAATAGTTCTCCAGGCTTCTTGAAGGGCATTCAAAGATCTTCTTTGGATGTTGGCTGCCTTTTGACCCGTTCTCTGTCAAGATCATCCCACACTGCTTTAGTAATATTGGGGTACAGGTACCAAGCCAATCCATGACTGATAGAATCAATATTACTAGATACTCACTGTTTACCTTTGATGACTGCCTCGTACATACTAACGATGATTTGAACCAACAGTTTGAAATTTGGATTCATCACTCCATAATTTTCAGTCTAGTTCCTTTGCAGTTCATGCACAACTCAGCTTTTCCCCTTCTTTAGGAATGGCTTCTTGATAGCCACCCTTCAACTCTGGCCATGTCTAATGAGCTTTCAGTGAACAGTAAATGGATGAACTGAAGGACAAGAAGTATCTCTTATCGCCTGTGTCAGAACCTGAGAGCAAGAACAGGTCGCTAGTACCAAAGTGTCTAAAGATACTGTTTAAAATTGGTTCTTTGCCAAGCTGTCTGTTATGTGTAGACACTGGTTCATCCCCTTGAGTTGTGGGCCTTTTTTACGCTTAAATCATTCATGTTGATTCATCAAGTTAAAATTAACGTTTCAGAAATGAGGTATTTTTGTTTCTTTGTTCCTTTTCCCCTCAGAGTAGCCTATAAAAGTTGTAAAAATCAATGGGGACCACAGCAGACATAAGTTCTCAGCTGTTTGACAAACTGCATTCATAAACTGTTCAGGTGAGATGCAAAGAAGACCAGACAGCTTTTTTTTTATTAGAACTAATAAACATAATAGTCGAAGAAAAACTGGACCATAAATTTATCAAAAGTACCGGAACACTCAGCACATCCAGTAAGTTCTTAATAATTAAATTAAAACCTACAAAAAGACACAATCAGCACACATAGTTCATTCAGTTTAAGCAATGTTTTCACTAAAATGCATGCTCACAAAATGTTGTGTCTCACTCCCATTTCTTATTGTTGCATTTAAAGCTCTTTTTCGAAGATCCAACCATGCAAAATATTAGTTTTTGCCATTTGTTAAGTGGTCTTAAACTTTTGATGGGAACTGTATGATCAAATGGTCCAGTTTATTGACTCTAGTAAGCAGATGTGATGCATTGCAGTCTCCTTTTATGACACCTTTACTTCACTTTATTTTCAGCTAACTTTTGGAAGTTGCAGGGCTTAATTTTCAGCCTTCATTGCTGATAAAACCATAAATTCATAGACTGTTTCAGCAGCATTAGAGATCATTGCATAAACGTGAACAATTTAACATCCAGCATTTTAGATGTTTTTTTAAAGGATCAACTCGCTTACTGAAATATTCAACATGTTTGGAAAAGCTGGTTTGGATACTGGCCTGCTTCAAAATTATAGTAAAGAAATATGTTTTCCACAAGGGGGCAGTATTTATCTGTGTGTGGCAAAATGCTACTGGGTCCAACCATAGACTCGCTTTCAACGTTGAGCCCTAAAGCGCGCACTTCAAAGAGCCTTTAGTTAATTTCTCAATATAATATAAATATCATGAAATCATTCAAAGAAACATTTTAAAGAAACTTACTAATAAACGCACTACGGTTGTATTTTTAACATCTGTCAAGTTTAACATTATTAAGTTTGCTGCTACAAGCAGACACTCTCGCGTACAGTACGCACTGTGATACTCTTAAGCTCCTGGTTCTGGCCACACCCTTAGCACAGCCGACTGAACACGTTGGACCAGTGATGACTCCCAGAGGGTGTGTCCCGCTGCTGTGAAACGCAGCACTGTTCACCAGCACGTCCTCCTCCTCCTCCTCTTCCTCCACCGCCTCCTCCTCCTGTTTTTTAGAAAAAGCTGAAGGCGCCCACACTCAACGCACCAACGCCAGAACAGTGCTCCTCTCTAAGGGGGGGGAAAGTGAGAGAAATTCCCAGAGGGTTTGCCCGGAGACTGCTGGAAATTTTCCCCTGGAGTAAAACCTGCCGAGTTAGGATACTTAGAGGATATCAGAGGCTCTCCTGTAACCATGGGGGACGTGGTTTCCTCTCACCTGGATGAGGATAGGCGGGAGATGATTACAGGTAAGATGAGTACCGTTGCGCGTTATAACAACCTTATTACAGAGTTTTGACCATGTTGTTGCCTTTAAGAAAATCGATTTATATTACTTTTATCATCTAAACTGCAGAAATCAAGTATAGACGGTTACTTTTGTGCCACCGCCTTGTAGGTGTGCTTTACTTGAAGGCTTCCCATGAATCTCAACTCCGCTGCAGCCCTGTTTCTTAGAGATAATAAGTAGGTTTCCGATGTTGCAGCATGTTTGTATAAGTTATGGACTGACTGCTATTTAAGTCTCAGATTGCTCCACAGAGTGAGCTGGGCAGCAGGTCTGGGCGTCTATTAAAGTCATGCGAGTAGAAGAACAATACAAAGACTGAGATACTTCAATGGATATAACGTGATCCCTGTCCTAGAAGTAGCTCGGTGATGCGTTCGAGTATCAAAACCACTTCAGGAATTTGGGAAAAACTAGTGTTTTTTGTTTTAATGCATGGAGTTCAATCTTCCAGACTTGTCATTTCCTAATTTCCTAAAACTTTTGTGTTAGGGTCATTTCAGCCTCAGCTGGGATGCCCCTTTAGTTCAGGGTTGTAATCCTGTTTGTGTGCATACGCTGGCAGAAGTACTCCTATGAGGAAACCCAGAATTATTCTCTAGAGGCTCAGGCACCGAGTGTGTTTGTTGGATTTTCCTTTTGTGAGCAGAAATAGAAAAAAAGTGGGAAGAATCACCCTGTTAGAATCTGGCTGTTGTAAAAAAAAAAAAAGAAAAAAAAAGGGTAGTTCACATATAAAAGGATAAATATCAAATGTAACTTCTCAAATATGAGGGGTTTTGTTTTTGCCTTTTGTGTGACTTTGGGGCTGCTGGCCAGAGAAATACATGTTTTCTGCTGTCTTATACTGATCCAAAGTTGATCCAAAGATGTGTGACATTCAGAATGAGCAGAAACTGGGCTTTAGAAAGTACAAGCAAGGTGTTCAATGTGAAAGTTCTTGACCTTAGGAACAAAGCAATCTGGTCTTACTGGCTTTTTGGAGCCCTTAGCCACATGTGCTGGTCTTCATTCTTGAAAGGCGCTCAGTCAGGTATCATCATGTGTCACAATGTAAGGCTTGTTAATGATAAAATATGTTAAAACTATAAAATGTAGGGTCCACATGACTGTGGAAAGCTGCGAGGGTAGAAAATATGACATTTAGCTACATGCAGGCCTTCATCGTTAAAATACGCGAGCGCAGTATTTCCTGCTTATGAGTCCACTCAGAAAAAGATCCATATAAAGAGACTAGTCAGAGGGAGAGGGGAAGATAACAAGTGAAGCAGGTAGAAACATGTCACAGGCCGTCTGACTCTCACACACACCCCTCTCTGTGTTGTTCCTGCCAGTATCTTCTACAAATCAACACAGTGAAAACACCCACGTCAACAGAAGACAAGTGAACACCTGTGCACGTCTTTAAAGAAAAAAGAAAACCTTCTTTTTATCCAGGTCCCACTTGTCGATGTGTTTGCACCTTTTAAGTTCGTGTGTGAGACAGGGTAAAGACCAGTCAGCGTTTTTGAGTCAGGAATCTTGTTGTGTCTAACTCCCAAAAAGGCAACTACTCAATGATCTCCTCCCCTATAGGACCCACACAGCAACCCCATGTGTGTGACACACATGCAAATCATAACTGCCTGCTGACCCACATGTTCACCCATCTATGGTCTGCTTAAGGCAGAAATAACCAACAGACTCAAACCTTGGCCTAGATATGTGCTGCCTACTATCAAACCCTTGAAATATAAGCGATCATCCTCAAAGAATAAGTTAGTAGATTAATCGTTTCACAGCAGGTTTTAGATAAAAACAGCCAAAGAATTAGAGTCAAATCCAGTCAGCTGTTTCTGGTGATCAGCTGACTTTTCTGGATCGAGTCACAGCGTTCACCTTTGAGGAGCTGCACGTGTTGCTCTGAAATTTGGTACACATGAAATGAAGATGGTAGCTTTGATGCTAAACATTAGCATGACAGCATTGTTACTGGGAACAAAAAAACTGTTCAAAAATAAAGTTAAAATAAAAAAAATGTATTTATATTAGAGATCAATAGAAAATGAACTAACACTGCAGTAAAAAAGATAAGAAGCTAATAGTTAAATTCAGCAACAAAACATGAACTTTGCCATGTGAGTGACACCGCCCTCTTTTGCCAACATGACGCAAAACAGGTAATTATAAAAAGGGACAACATGCCTAACTCAGGCACACCTCAGACTGTTTGTGCACACGGTTTTATAAATCTGTTGAAAATAATGTTCACGCTCATGTCTGCCTTTTTTAGTTTTATTAGTATTTTACCATTTTTATTCATTCTATCTGGCTAAGCCTTTTGATGTTAAACAGTGGATGATGATTGATGATGACGATGACTGATAATGATTGATAATGATAAGGATTGGTGCTTGATGACGACTGATTGTTATCAATCATCATCAGTTGCTGGCAATGATTGATGATAATGAGGGTTGGTAATTGATGACGACACTGATTGACAATGACGACTGATTAATGATAAGTGGTGATGATTGTTTTCTTTCTCTCCCTTCACAACAAAACTGTAAATCCACTCCTATAAAAAAATGCATAATTTGGTTTTTAAGCACCGACAGAATTCATATCCAACTCATCTTTATTAATCATACATTTATTCCATAAATATTATATTTGCCTTAGGAAATTGTGATTATTCTAAGAGAGCCATGGTATTCAAAGAATCCTGAGCTCAAACCTTGGGCATACTAGCGGAGGAGAACTTCCAGTTGGGAAAAAAACTTCATAAATCTCATTTTGGAACAAAGTCAGCAAACCTTTTAAGCCTTCTTAAATCATGTTTTAAGGGTTGTTGTATACACACAGTTGTTATGCCCCAGTGAGCCTGAAAATGTAAGTCAATTTAGATAATGCTCCAAAATAGCTGCAAAGAAGTGCATGAATGCATTTCAAGTTGGCTGCAGTTTCATTACTTATTGCCTGAAAGAATTTGTCACTGCAAACTGCTTTTCCTTTGCTGTTCTTCGGTTTTCCTACTTGGAAAGATTGTGGGCCCTGCTGTCCTTTGCTAATCTTCAGTGTACATCTACTGAACAATGCCTTTTTGTCTGCAGTGTCCTTCTGCCATCAGTTCCTCCATGCTCTTGCCTACTGTTATTTGTTCGTCATTACAAATGCACTTAAAGAATTGAAGGAATGAAAGAAAGGTTTACATCAAGGTCATGAATCTGGGTTATGGGCTTAAGATTTTAAGTAAGCATAGGAAGCACTGATAGAGAGTCTGTAATTCTTATACAAGAAAAAAAAAAGAAAGCTAAAATGTGGTTTTTTTGTTGGAGGTATTTGTGATAAATTACCTTCAAACGCAGAGTCTGAAGCTAACCCTAACCATTTCCTGTTTCATTTAATCCTCTAAAAGGACATGCAAACACTGGAAAATACTGAAGTATGGCGTATAAAAAGTACCAAAAGTTCCATTTTTACTCTATTCCATGATGTCACATGTAAAGTAAATAGCAAACAAGAGATGGAAGAGGGTTGTAACAACTATAGCACATGGCTATACAGTTTGAATGAGAGAACCGAGTATGTATTTTATGATGTGGGCTTTGTTTTAATTTCTAAGTGCTCATTTACAGCTTCCTAGTCTGCTGATTTTGGCTCAGCAAGGCGAACGGTGGAAAGTACCAACTCTCTGCAAGTTAGCAGTGGAGGCCACAGTAACCGGAGCGTAATCTAGAGGAAATTTAGCCAGGATAAAGAGAGTTTCCATCCAAAATCAGATATCCTCTGCATTTTTTCTGAGACGAACTGTTCTGAAGGCAGACCCTGTCTGATAAACCCACCGAGGATGAAGAAAAAAATCCTTCAATAAAAGGAATGGAATGACAAACCTGACGAGAGATTCAAAGCCATCGTCTGGAACAATTTAAAGTACTTGCTGATGTTTAGTTTTTCCAGGTGCCTCGCTATCTTGCAGCCCCTTAACCTGCCCTCCCCTCTCATCCTGGTATGTCATGGTGTTTTTAAATGAGTGTCCCTGTCCCCAGTCTCCTCCGCATTCCCTCCATCTATCCTGTCCTGTCAGCTCTTTCCTTCCTGCTCTCCCACTGCAAGCTGGCTCCCTCCTTCCTGCGTCGTTCCTTCCATAAACAGATCATAGTCAACACTATATGCTGCTGAATGAGCCAAAGACACTGATCAGCTCGAACACCAACTCTTTTCCAGCATTAGAACGTGGGAAAAGCCTTTGTCCCCTCCAGCAGCTTCTCAGTCTATTTATTAGGAAGCTGAATGACGACAGATAACAAATCTCGAGGATATGTGGAACACAGAAAAGTCTTTCAGCAATACCAGGAGGCTTTGCTTTTATACAAACAAGGACTTACGCTAACAGATATATTCAGAACTTAATAATAATTTGATATATACAAACGATGAAGAGAAAGCAGCTGCCATTTACTGGAGCCTGAGCAAATGTTGTCAGGTTTTGGTTTGTACAGAACCTCCAAACTGCATTAACAAATGTGCACTGTAGTCTGAAATGCTCAAAGAAGTTACAAATGGTTCGTTTGTGTAAACTTAAATATTCCTTTTAGAAATTCAAGTTTGAGTTTAAATATCAGATTTTGAGATGACTTAAAACAAGTTAAAGGATCATTTCAGAGTATTTTTTCTACTGTATTGTGCACTTACCTAATAGTATTTTTTCATGAGAGTTGGCATTATTTCAAGTTATTTGCATAATAAATTATGGACGTTGGCTGAAATATAATGCATGCTCTAATATACAGTGCTGTTGCTACATTTTGCTCTCAAGTTACTCAGGTTGAGGCATATTTACATTTTGCAAAAGTTTTGATTCACCAATCATTTCTTCATAATTTGTTTACAGTGAGGCAGACTTTCTTGTAAATGAATGTGATCTTGAGCAATAGCTCCCCAGGTTCTCTGAAGGCCTTTCAACGTTTTTCTTTGTTTTTTCACTCATTTTCAGCCCAGTCCTTGTACCTTATCATTGTCAGAGGAATTTCTTTCCTTTATTGTTGTTGATAACACTGATTGTTCAAGCACAAAAGCAGCTAACAGTGTTGTGTCTATATGTAACAGACAACTTCGTAAAGGACGAGTTTTAAATTGTATCTTTAGGCATTTTATTACTAGTAGCCTGTCGCAAAAAGAAAACAATCAAAATAATTTATTCCTATTTCTCTAGTTGAATCTATGAAAGATGCCGAAGATGACAGAGCAAAAGAAATAGTATTTTTCCACCAAGAAGGTGGTTCCCTAAGAACTGTTAGCCAAAATTCATAAGGAAGGGAAAGTGGGAGAAAAGGCTGAGAAACCAAGTTATGAATTCAAATTTGTCATCAATATGTGCAGAGGAGGTCAAAAGAGAGGTGCAACAGTGAGTTTCTACAGCCACCTGTAAAACACGGTGGAGGCTCTGTACTTTAGACAGTGTTGTTGTGGAATTATGAACACAGAAGAGTACCATCAGGTTTAGATCCACTATTCAACGCCACCTGGAAATCATCTAATCAACAGCAGCTTTGTTTTTCAGCATGACAATGACACACAGTGTCAATGCACTAAAAGCATATCTGGGTAGAAAAAGTGCAATGGAACATTATCAGTCATGCACTGACCTCCCAAGAGCCCATAATTAAAGCCCATAATTAAATCCTTGCAATTAAAGCAATGTGGGAACATCTCGACAGAGGATGGAGCAAAGGGCAGCCAACATCCAAAGGAGAGCTTTAAATGACCTTCTTCAAGAAGCCCGGAGAATTATTCCTGAAGACTACTTAAAGCATTTCAAAGGCAGCTTTCCTCAGACAGTTCAGGCTTTGTTGAAGAATAAAGGTGGTCGAACCAAATATTATGAAAGCTGCATAGTGTAAACTAAAAATACTTTCATTTATTCATCATAACTGTAGCTCTTTGTTCGTGTTCCTCCTTTTAAAGGTTTGTGTGTGTAAAACCAATATTTCCAGCGATGCAGTCGTTCCATAAACTTTTCTTTTGATTGATTTGACTTTTCTTTTGTCTTTTGATTTAAATGTAACATAGTTTAAATTCAGTACGATTAAAATGAAATTGAACAAAACAAAGTGTTGCTTTAAAATTTATGTAATGACTGAAGTAATACTTCAGCTGTGAGCCTGTTAGAGCTTCACTTAATACAACGGTTTGTGCCGATCATACATGAGAGGTACCTCTTTGTTGAGCTTTGCCTGAGAATCGCTATCTCAAATGTCCACTTTACATTTTATTATATGGGAGTTTTCATAAAGAACCGATAGCAGGAGTAAAGGTTGAGGCCTTTAAATAAGCAAGTGAAAGAGACAGCGTGCCTTCACACGAGAACAGCAGCTCTTTATCTAACCCAGTTAATTTTTGACAATGAAATTTAAACTGCAGCACTGGTGACTTTTGAAAAACATGCTTGGAATAGAGTGAACCAGTCTGTCCTTTCAGGAATTTAATTTATTTTCTCTCTGACTTGGGTTGCCAGATTCAAAATAAAGTATTAAGCATTTAAGTAGTATAATTAGGTCAATTTCTGACTTTATAAATGTCTAAAGTTACCTTGTGAAAGAAAACTGCAGAACTTATTGTTTGTCCTTCTACTATAAGACATAAGATAGATTGTGTTAACCATGCACTGGTGCAGAAGATGACGCTGATTTTGTGTGTGTGTGTGTGTCTCTCCCACTGCAGCTCGGACCAGAGAATGGATGAAAGAGTTCAGCCAAGTGTACGAGCAGCAGTATGCAGTCGCCCTCTTCAACAGCGTCCGCTTTGAGATAGAAGGAGGAGGAGGGACGCAGTCTCAGCTGCTTCACAGAAAGGTATGACACTTGGTCATTCAATGGGAAAAAAAACAAATAAAATAGTGGCCTCCACTGGACCCCCTCAGACCCCCTCTGTTTATATTTCTGAACATTTAGTAAAGCCATGCAAAGCACAAGAGACAGCCCGGTGGAATAGAGCGTGGAGAGGTGGAGGTATGCTCTGGATAGGAGAGGAATAGAAGTCAGTAGAAGCAAGACAGAATGCATGTGTGTGAATGTGATGGAGACGCGTGAAACAGTGAGCCCTGCGGTCAACCATCCAAAGCAACAGACAGTGCTAAAGAGATGAAGAAGAGAGGAGAGCACAGGCAGGGTGGAGCAGGTGGAAACGAGTGTCAGGAAGGATATCAGTAAAAGTGAAAGAGAGGTTTACAAGATGTTAGTGAGACCGGCCATGACGTGTGGTTTGGAGATGGTGGCACTGACAAAAAGACAGGAGTTAAAGGTTTTATTGGGAGTGAGCAGGATGGACAAAGTAAGAAATGAGTACATCAGAGTTTTGGCATTGTTTAAACATGCACACAGGCGGGACAGCCAACAGACTTTGATGATGCACACAGTGCATGAATGAGGTCATCTTTGGGAATGTACAAGGACATTACCTAATGAGCAAGCCCCCTGCTTTATTTCTCAGCAGTCTTTGTGTTCCCTATTATCTTTGTGGTCACTTGTTGAAGGCTGGATTTTTTTTTTTTTTTAAATCCATGTTTTCTAACTCTGGAGGGAAAGTGGAGCACATTTTACACACGAGCAGAGGTGCTGTTTCTCTTATGCAGGTTCATCTTTTCTGGTCACTGTGTGGGAGTCAGCTGCTCGTGTGATCCAGCACACAGCAAGAAACTATCCTGTTTGAAAAGACTTTGAGTTATTAAAATGTTGGACTAAATGTGTAAAAAAACTATTTGAACCCCCTTCCCATTTTTTAACTTATAGATAAATACTTGATTGGTTTCTGAGCTGATCGGGCACTTTTACCCTCCCACCTGCCACCACCAGTGACCCTGCCACAAAATCCACACAAAAGTCTGCAGCTGTTAGCAAACAGAAGCCAAGCCATTTTATAATCATCATTATGTTTTAGGCCTACCGTTTCAGTCGCTCGGAAGCAGTAAGCCTTTGTTTTTTCTTCCTATCTGAGCAATTATTGTTTAATCCAAGACAGGAAAACAAAGTGGGTGGTGTATATCCTTTTGTAAACATGTTTCAGTAAAAAAACAAAAGAAAAACAAAATGAAAACTCCACCCTGTCACGTTTGGAAAAACCTGTTAAGCGTCAAGTTGATTAGTTATGGGAGATTGTAACAACACCCAGTTGTCTCAATAATGCACAGTATACACACCTGTTAGAGTTTGTATCCTAAGGTACAGTAACGCATGCAATCTTTTGTGTGTGCGTTTGCATTTTTCAGGACCCTCTGGCAGGTTGCACCATCTTCTCAGGGAGTCTGTTTCAGTACCTGGAGGAGAATCGGAAATGGAGGAATCGTTTTGTCTTTGTGCCCAAGGACTACACCATAAACCTCTATGAGAGCAAAGCTGTGAGTAAAGCTACTTACTGCACTCGACTTATGTCCGGTTAGGCAATTTGGTCACCTGCATGAAAACCATTTCACCACCAACAGGCACACGAACGGGGACTGCACCCAAAATTAACCATCAACTGCGCCGGGTACAAGGCCCTGACGTCAATGGAGGAGTACATGGAGCTGATTAATAAAAGTCTGCCAGGTTAGAAAATAACACACAATATACAGTTGTTAGTCATCAAATTCTGAAATGACTAAGCCCCTTTTAAGATGCAAAGGGCTCAAAATGACTCTCTCTTTGGGTTTTTGTGGTGCTATGCCCACATTGTTTAAGAGTTGTCCACCACATTGGACATAATAAAACCATGGCTTGTAGATATAAAAAAAAAAGAAAAAAAGAAAGTGAATCCACCATCTGGTTGGTGAGTGCTTCCTGGAGGCTGCTGGCAGTCACTAGGTAAAATCAGTCTCAAGGCGCAGTGCTGTACCAAAAACCTCCTTATGATTGCTTTCGTCCCTAGCAGATTGTGACCATAGTTATTTCTAGTTTGCATTGCTCCATTCACAGTTTCACTACCGCCCAGAGTTGCTGGTGAGCATTTGTAGGTGAGTCATCGTATTCAATGCAAACTAGCCAACTGCAGCAATCTGCTAGCAGCCAGAGCAAGTGCAAAGAGGTATTTCTAACTTGTTGGGGAATACACATTTTTGCCTAGCAACTGGGGTTTCCCAGGAGTCATTGACTCGACTATAAGTCTGTGGGACTGGGACCTTATTCGTTTAACCCTATAATGTGACCATGATTGTCCGTACATCTATAATGGTGGAAAGTTATCACACGATTAGCGTGTCTACAAAAATAAATACTTATGTCATTAGTATATTTCCCCCCCTCCACAGTTTGTCGGATTGTTATAGTAATATTAAACATCATTATTTCCCTCTCCTAAAGTGCTTTTGAAATCTCAATTCATCATCTGGTCCATTGCAGGTGTCAAGGCCAAAGTGGGCAGTAACCCATTCATCAAGTGTGCAACCGGGTTCCCCCTCATCCTGTGGCACCCATACGCCCGCCACCACTACTTCTGTGTGATGACCGAGAAGGAGCAGAAGAAGTGGCACGCTGTGCTGCAGGATTGCGTCAGAGACAGTAACAATGGTAACAATGCAAACACAAAGCAGCACATAAATCGGAAGTGACAGAAACGACTAGAAAGCCAGAGGCTGTGTGAAGTTAATGCAATCCGGATCATATGTACATCTTCTGAGCATGAGCAGTGTTTCTCTCTCTCCACCTTGGCAAACCTCTCTTCCTCTGTACCTTTGTTGGCAGTTCCGATGAGGGTGTGTGTCACAGTGTGAAGCTTTTACATGCCATCTGAGTGAGCAGGTCGATCTGTGCACATGAAATGCTGAAGGAATGGGGTGTATTCATTTTGTAAATGTTGTTGCCATTGGATCAGATCTACACTCTGTGCATCATTTACAGTCAAGATGAGCATCTGAAACGCTCAAATAGTAGACAACATTAGAAACTTTTTT